GGAAGAAACATTACACTTTGCTGTAATCTCTCCTGTCCTCTGTGCCGTCACACTCCTTCAAATCCAGTTAAATCAGCTTAACATGGGCAGCAACCAGCGGAGAAGAAGAGAGAACGGGGAGATCAGTGTCAATCACAAAATAAAGCCCAGAAGACAGACTTGTCATCATTCAGTCCCTTTGCATACCTTTCTTCATCTTTAAAACAACAGGACCTCATAAACAGTGGGTAAAATGTTTTAAAGTTGTCCTTCCATCCAGTATAAGACATAAAAGTTACCTTTTTAATCAAAAATAGAGATTGTTTACTGGGAGTCATATTCAGAGAAAGGAAAGAAAATAATTTCAGGATTTATTTCCAATTAAGTCTCTGTACAGATAATAGCTGCACCACAAGATAACAAAGCTATTCTGAAGTAACCGACAGTCATATCTGAACCTGACACACATTGAAATGATGATTAACCTTTTTTAAAGTACCCTACTCCAACCCATTGCCTCATAAAACATGTTCACTCGTGTCGATAGCAGCCTGCTTGTAGAAGTTCATTTCAAAATGTTCCTGCCAACCTTACCACATTTTTATCATTTGTTCTTCACCAGGTTCTACTGCCTGCTTCTCCAGATTGAATGCTCCCATGAGGAGTGGCAGAGTGACAGAAATTGCTCTCTGATCATTGAAGAGTTTGGTGGAAATGTTATGATACCCGCTCAATGACATCTTCGCTTGGCTGCACATCAGTGAAATCATACGATGTAGACATACGCTCCTCTACAGATAGGATTTACCTCATTTTTCTTACTTTTTTTTTTTCATGTGGGTTTGCAGAGCATGCAAGATGGTTTTAAGTTTAGTCATATGCTCTTAGAGCGATAGTGAAATCATATCTGGGGGATGATTGACAGGGGCTGGGGATAGTGTAACTGTCTCGCTCTGTTCTGCTCTAGCCAGAGAAATTCAGCAGGTCTTGGATTTCAACTCGTGCCCTCCAGTTAAAACTTTCGGCTGTTGTAACTCGGTTTGGATTAAGACAGATGGATGCACATGAGACTATATGAAGGAACGGATTTTAAGGTGGGAAATCATGCGCAAAGTACAAACTTAAGCAATGTAAACCACAAGTCATCTTGTCTCGATTGTCGCTAACCAGCAGGGGCTAAAAAGGCAGTGTCAGGAGACTATACATTCTACTGCTGGAATGTGTTTTTATTAGTGCAGCATGGTTATGGTTTCAGTCTTGTTGGCTGCTTCAAAAGATCCAGAGCTGCACAACACATCTGCCTTGCACAGATTTCTGTAGACCTCTGTCTGCCTTCCTGCCTGCCTGTTTACACCAGCCTCCGTCTTTGTCTGTCTCTCTAAACGTACAAAGGAAACTGACTCACTGAGACAATGAATGCAAATAATTACAGCACTCGTCTGAACAACAAGTGTGTTTCCAAGACTTAAAAATGTGGAGAACATGAATAAATACCACTGAATGGTGAGAATATGCATGTTATTTCCATTCCTTCACTAACAAGAGTCAACATGAATAATTGGTAATAATGTCACAGTAATCTGCTCTCTGACGCTAGAGGGGCCTGAAGGAGCTCAGGAGGCAACTTGTATCAAAATCCACATTACAACCGCTGTTTCTGCTCCAATAAATGCACTGAAATTTGTCTGTGCGATACTGATGTAGACAGATTTACAACTTACAGAGAACACAGCCTGTATGTGCAGACACAGTGTACCCTAAGACATCAATATATGGTGTACAACGCGTAAAACTTCACTTTGGACATTCAGGCACAGGTTGATAAGTTGCAGAGTGGTTTACCTGAATAAAATACATGTCGTTAGAATGATCCTCTCTGGACACAATTGCTAACATAGTGCCATACGGCTTGGTTGTGCAGGTGTTGATATAGTAACCGTAAATAGCACACTAATAAGAGGTAACAGCAGGAAGCTGCTCGGTAAAGAATAGTGGAGTTTCATTTGTGTTGATGTGAATTACAGAGGTTGAGGTGGATGGGGTGGCAGTTTTTGGCAAGACAATAATAGAACCAAGGTGTGTCAGTTGCTGACTGTAAAAGACTGCTAATTTATTTAAACAACAACATATATACTGTCAACAATATGTCTACCCTTCCTGAAAACTGGTCCTTTGAATGAATTGTGGGGCTGCTGCTCTATATTTAAAATTGCTGTAATTGGGGTTCGAATGAACAAAAACTGAGAATTTATTTGGCACACTAAAAAAGGTTTTTACTGTACGTTATTATCACTCGAGGAGCCAAAAAACATGATGTTACTTAAGAACCAATCATATAATAATCTCTGATATTAGCATGCTTTTAAAACCTGCCATGCTGATGGAACAGAGGATATCCAGAGGGCATGGGGAAATTGTGATGCTCTATTTCTGGCAGCATGGGAAAATATGCTTTTTTTCCCTGTGATTTGGTTAAGCACAAGGCCTTATCTCTCGTCCATGTCACTCTGCTATTCCTGTTACCAATGTGAAGGCATGCACTACCAAAGCAGCATCCTGAGCATTTACAGCTTTTTACAGTTTTTTTCTGACACCTGATATCATCAGTACAAACATGAGGTCCAGTACTACACATTCAATCCCAGCCCCAGGAGACTAAAACCCAACTCCTCTATTACATGTGCTGCTGTCTTGTCATAGTCAGCTAAGCATTTCTTATCAAATTAAGCTTTTTCTTTTTGCAATTTCTGACCCCCATTCTGATTCTAATGACAACATCATCGGTGTGATATAGACAGAGTAGGCTTTTTCACACAAGGCCTTTCTACACGTTTCAGTAGAAGTAATAATAAAACTTCTGCTGCCCAAAGTCCATGTAGCTGATTAATTCCAGTGTCCCAGTATTGTGATTACTGGATCATAGCGCAAAGTGACATATTTTTAATTATTACATTTGCCGATGGAAGCTGCCTCATGAATTCTCATGAGGCACATGCTGATGTCTATATTTGTTGCCAATTTTCGGTTCATGGTGTTTATTGGTTTCTTCCCTCTGAATTACTGCTCACATCTGCTCAGTTTAGTTATTCTTAGAAACAGAATGGCTCTGCAGTCTGATTATCAGGCGACATTTAATAACTTTCTAGAAAAACAGAGGTTCTCTCTGTGACTCATGTGTCACAAACTGGAGCTACTAGCTGATTATTATTATATGATATGAGATAAGGTCAGGTCATTTTGTTTGCTTTAAAATAAGAAAAGAAAGGGGGGGTTAAGGTAACACTCTGGAATTCCACTCATGCACAGACTCTTGTCAGAATCTGTTGACTTTGGTTTAAAGACCTTCTCCAGTAAAAATCTTTTTGTTAATTTGTCCATTTGAAGTTTTTTTTATATGCAATATATATATATATATGTGTGTGTGTGTGTGTGTGTGTGTGTGTGTGTGTGTATGTGTGTGTGCGTGTGTGTGTGTGTATATGTATGTATGTATGTATGTATGTATGTATGTATGTATGTATGTATGTATTTAAGTATTATGAGCAAAATGAGTTGTCAACACCATTAGGAAGTATTTCTGCCAGTCTAAAAAACATAAATTTAGTCTTCCAGGGTTTCATATGTAACAAACCTAGAGAGCCAATCCTGTTAACTTCCTGTTAAGTGAGGCTTCTGTATTATTATTCTTCGGGTTTGTTCTTGTATGGCTGAATCACTTAAATATAAAAACTTTCTTTTGTGTGGCAGTGAGTAGTTTGAGCAGAGTTGTATGTGAGCTGGTGTGCTCGAGCTGCAAGTGGGGATACATGCCTTTCTGCTCCACTTCTACTATTCTGTGTTACCATTGTCAAACTCCCCTTCCGTGCCTCTGAACACCAATTACCACACTGACAATTTCAAATTTTGCTGGGGATTTAGATTGTGCAGTAAGGGAGCCCTGCTTGTTTTTTGCTCTGTTCTGTTTTGTTTTGTTTTGTTTTGTTTTTTGACAGATTAACCATTTAATGACAGTTTTCACCTTTGACCTGTTGAAAGTTTGACCTGTCATTATTTTCCAATTAGCTCAATTAGCGATAAGCTCTGCCCAAGATGTATATGGAATTGCAGAATGATGAGGTGCAAGTAGAAGATTCTGTACTGCAGAATGATCTGGTTATGTAAAACACCATGTAAGCCATTTCAAGGCATAAGGAATTATCTGCATGGAAAAAAACCTCATAAAAACATTATTTTCTATACACCACTTAATCCTCATTAGGGTCATGGGGGGCTGGAGCCTATCCCAGCCGACTTAGGGTGAAGGCAGGGGACACCCTGGACAGTTCACCAGTCTATCACAGGGCTACACTTAGAGACAGACAACCAAGCACACTCACATTCACACCTACGGACAATTTAACATGTTTTTGGACTGTGTGGGAGGAAGCCAGAGAACCCGGAGAGAACCCACGCTGCACGGGGAGAACATGCAAACTCCACGCATCATAAAAACATATATATATATATATATATTAATAACTTTAACCAGTTAAAATCATCTCTATCTTGCAGTAAGGTATGGGTCAATGGCAGTCCAGTCTTTAGATGACAAGTGTCACCAAAAGGAACAGGTGTAAAGAAACGTTATATTTCTTTATCTAACAGAAGTGGTCAACAACAAAACAAAACAAAACAAAAAACCAAATGTAAATTATAAAGTAGCTGTAATGTGTGAAACTTTTTGTGGTGATGAGTGCACATCACTTTTTTTTCAGTTTCCAGCAGGCCACCATAAACCACGTGACCAGGCCGTAGCTTAAGTCATCCCGCGTAAAATCACGTGACCACAGGTGTCCCCTCACCTGCAGAGCGTAGCAAAGACCTTAGTGATGTTTCGGCTCCACATGGTTACATCATGGACTCCATGCAGTCAGCAGCAGGGAGGGACAAGAAGCAAGCAGAGTGAGGCTGGGGAGAAAAAAAAAAAAAAAAACAGAGCAGAAAGGGAGAGCTCAGGACTCCCCTTCAGGCATCCGAACAAGTCTGGACTGTTCTGCTGCTGCTCGTGTTCAACCAACGCCAACCGAGGCAGCCTCGGGAACCAGAAACAGCGTTTTCAGTTTTGTCAGTCCCCTGCAGGGATGCAGCGACGGGAGTTGTGTCTTTGAGCTGCAGCGGATGACCGTGGCGTTGCTTTGTGCTATTTGAAGTTGTGACCCTGGACTGTGCAAACCGCTGTGTGGCGGCTCACTGCCCGGAGAGTCCGGGCTGGATATGCCACAGGTGGAAAGGTGTGGAGCGGCAGGCTGTGGCCCGGAGCACGGAGCAGAGATCCGCAGGTAAGATGAGAGAGTACAGGACTGATTGTGTCTGAGGGCAGTAATGCTCAGTTAACAAGCTGCAATTGTACATTGTCGGCTGCAGAATGTGGATATGTCTTAATGCAATGTCTGTCTGCTGATTGATTTGCTATTAATATACATTCTGGTGAGCAATAACTCACCTAGTGCATTTCTCCTTAGATTTTCACTTTCCCTGCATTAAAAACCTTGTCAATGAACAACACCTGGCAGAAAATCCATCACCTTATTTTCACAAAAAATAAAAAAATAAAAAAACACAACTGAAATAAAGAATCTGCTATTGAGTGGTTCAGATAATCAGGATCTGGCAGCGGATAACTCAGGGTGATTAGACTAAAAACAAACATTTCTGAATGAAAGAATGTGAAAGGGGAAAAAAAACAGTTTATTTTTCCCTCTTGCAAAAACTCCATGCATTAGTCTTCAGGACATGACTGACCTCAGCTGAACTTATTTAGCGAGAGGGCATTAACGCACCATGATGCTGCACAGAGGAAGAGAATCTCACTCCTCCGCTTCCTCCTCTGCTTTCGTGTCCTGATTAGTTGCAATTGTCGGTTCAACATCTGAGGGCATTCATGTCTTTGCTGTGGTTTGGCTCACACAGCAGTGGAAAAAATCCCCTGAAATATCTGGATTTTAAAGAAAAAGAAGTCTCAGAATCATTTTGCATGACTGATTAGACTTTTCCTTTCTGCCTCACCTTCACCCTCCCACATTCCCAGGTTTACTGCACTCTTGCAGCCCTGCTTGGTGAAGTTTGTGGCGTGCCACAGTGGTCGTGGATGGATCTGAACTTTGTGTGTTGTCTGTGCTGCTGCTGGTTATTGTGTGCGTTTGATGTTTACCCAGGAACATTTTCTCTTGCCCACATTTGAGGTTTAAGAAGAGAACATTAGTTTCAGATCCTCATAAAAGCGATACTTTGAACAATTAGTACTTGTGTTTAGGTCGCTCTTTACCTGTGTTTATGTTGGACTAAACCTGCTATAAGCCAGGAGAATCTGAATTGTCTCTTTTCATTCATGTCCTCGAATGAGAAGAAAAACCCTTTGATGATGAGTGCAGTCATTTCCCTGATTTAATCCATCTGGTATCTGTAAATAGTAATACAAAGCTTGTGAAATACTTAAATAGGAGGATCAGTTCAGAGCTTATTTTGAAACTTGTTCCAACAGGGGGTCAAGTGAGTGCTGTTTTTAGCACTTTTGTTTAGATGGCTTACAGAAACCATTATTCTCGGAAGTGACGGATTCACTCGACCTGAAAGGTCAAACGTGACTGGATCAATCTCTCTTACTTTTGATTCCCAGATGGCCTCTGAGCAAAGTTGTTCTGTTCTTGAAAGTAGCAGCTTTTGGGCACCAAGTACTCAGAATCCTGGTGTGTGAGCATTTTTGGTAATTTGCTGTGACATGTCACCCTCTTTTGAACCCTCCATCCCCTTGTCCACTCGTGTCGCTCTCTGGCCCATGGACCGGTGTTATGGCGATGGAGTCGGACTCTTACACAATCCTGCACTCTGTCACATTGCAGTGGCCTGTGGCCCGCCGCCCCCCAGGGAGAATGGCATCTCTACTAAACCACAACTCTGTGATCCTTCCTGAGCTGAGCTTTTAGAAAGCACAGTCGAGCCTCTGTACAGCTCCCACAAGAGACTCCGGGATGACTCTTAAACTCTTTTTCATCCTGTAAAGCCTTTTTTCTTCCCCTGTCAGTGCTTTTGTGTGCAAATTGTTTTTTTTTTTCCCCCATTAAGTCCTCACTTAAATCCTCGTTAAGAGGGCTCTGACAAGCACTTTGATACTGTGGCTTTGACCTTTTAACCCACTTGATTGCTTTAATTTCCCAGGTGACCTGCAGTGGGTGAGGTCATGAGCCAGTTACCCCGTACTTTTAAAACGCCAGGTGTGGAAGCCAGACTAGAAATTAACTTAATATAGGCTTGATGGATATGTTTACATCCACATGCTGTAATAAAAAACAAAAAAAAACAAAAAAAGTTTATCAGAAGTGGGACACTTCAGCATTTGGCATGTGAGCTGGCAATGATTAGTAGAGAATATATACCAGCAGACTGTATGTGTACACAGATTAGGTAAGGGCCTGAAAATAGAGTCGGGTTTGTGGGTGAATTGTGGGAGAATTGTGGGAGTTACAGGAAAATGAAGAAAGGAATCGAGATCCGTTGTTTGCTTCCGGTGCTTTTAATGTTTGCTGATGCTTTTAGCAGTCAGCTGGTGTTTTAATTCCCCTCAACTCATTAATGTCTTTCAATTACAATCTGTTAAGCTAACCAACATTTAACTACTTTAGAGTAGGTTGAGGATGTTAAATGTGGTCTCAACACCTGGCTTAGCTAACTAGAAATAGCGATTGTTACATTAGATTTCATACAGGAAAGAGGAAAATAACATGAAAGTTAAGCAAGCTGGTGCGGTTTGTTGGGCGTTAATTGTACATCATTTCATTTTATATGTGTAGGAATCTTAAAATATACACTTTAAGTCTTGAAAAGGGAAAGGGGTCTTACATTTGGAACGTATTAGGCTTTATATGTGTGCCGTGTGTTTGCAACAAAAAAGCTGAAACTATTGGGTTTGTGGTCTCAACATCTTTCTGAGGGAACAAACATTTATGGGTAATTATGAGCTTCTGGCTTCGGGCGGTGTCTGAAAGTTTGAAAGAGGACAAGGCCAATAAATTCTGGCATTTAGTTATAGTTATAAATTAAGTTTAATTTATTTTAACTATTTTTTTTTGCAATTTTAATGCACAGTATTTTCTCAGTATAAAATCTTTTAAATTAGTAGAGTACTTATAGAAAAAATGAGTCCTGCTGTCTCTATGGCAGATACATCATAGTTACAGTGGCTAGAACAATGTTTTTACACCTCTGTGTTGATTAAACCAACAAGATAAAACATGTCTAACTCGTGAGCTTTGGAAGTGCTTGTAGGTGGATTTTGTTACCTTCAGAAAGTTCAAGGCTGCAAAAGCTGTTTGTCCCAGTTTCTAGTCTTTCTGCTAAGCTCAGATTCCAGTTGCTGTTCTTTTTATAGATACTTAATGAACAGATGTGAAAATTATATTAACCTTGTCATCAAAAGCCCAATTAGGAAGCTTATATTCCTTTAAAAGGCAACAGAATCGGTGCATGATGAGGATAGATAATGACGTGGTAATAGTTATTGTAGTAGCCATAATGTCTGTGAACTTGGTACTACAACAAAGTGGATGACCTTTTAAAGAGCCCATAATGAGCTTTTTTGGGTTCTCCTTTAGCTTTCATGTGTTATAAAACTGCTTTTTTGTGCATGTAAAAGGGATGCGAACTTACAAAAGTGCACGATAGGACTGCACGATATATCGTTTCTACATTGACATTGCAGTGTGAGCATGTGCAATAGTCACAGGAAGTACAACGTGAGCTAAGGGATATTAACTCAAGCACATCATGCGACAATGTTTTTTGCTGCTTGATACAAAAATAAAACCAGCATGGTTCTCTTTTTTCATAACTAATCAGTGTGATAGAATGCCGTATTCAAGGCTACGGAATACACAAGTTTTTTCTTAACTCTATTTAAAAGTTTTACAGTTTTTTTGACATGCAAACTTTGTGTACAATGTGAAAAGAGTGAGGAACAGGAACCACAAGAACTGGTTGCAAAAAAGAAACATAACATCAGTTGTATGGAAATATTTCAGCTACAAAAAAGGAGTGTCTTGCAACTGTTTTCACTACGTAAGGCAACATGACTGATTTGTTTGACCATTGAAGTCAGCATCACAAAGTTCTGTCTTGCCTTTACCAGTGTTACATCATATATGAAAAGTTCCAATTGGCAGAGAAGTTTCACATTTTACTAATTAATAGTGATTAAACTAATTAATCGTTTCGCTTTGCAAAAGCCATTATACTAACTAATACAGTTACCAAAGAGGGCTGTAAAAGCCTGATCTGGTTGCTTCACAAGTGGTATGTAAAACCATCAAGCACCTGTTTTTCTCAAGTTGCCATCCCAGAGCTCTATCAAGAATGCAAGGCACAAGTTGAAACAGAGCTGTTCCAAGTGAAATATTGTGCAGTTACAACTGACTTGTGGTCCAGACAGACATCGGAGCCCTTATATATATATAGAGTCTTATAATGCACTTTATTAAAGAGGCCTTTCAACTGAAAAGTCACTGCCAATACTATGTCCCTTGATTATGCACACTTCAAGTACGTTAGAGTTATTAAAAGTCAATCCAGTGTATTTGATTGACAAATAAATTGCTCTTCGATGTATTTAGAAAAAAAAAAAAAAGTGATGTAGGTGTCCACAGACCTTGTTGTGAAACTTTTGTAGGGCACTGTCTGAAATGTCATGTCAGAGGAGTGGATAAATTGTGTTTTTGGCATGTTTGTGTGTCAGGAAATGCATTTTAGATTATCTGTAGTACCTGGTTATTCCAGCACGCGGTGCTTTGTCCTGTTCTTTACTGTAAAACTGCATGAGAGGAGCATTAACTGCTTGGGACCATAATGATAGATGGTGCAGTGAACATGACGAAGGCTGCTGCTTTGATTAAGTGGACCAAGCTGCCGTGCATTGGCCAGTTACACTCATACTATATTCACTGAGCTGTTTTTCAATATATACTAGAGAAAAGCTCCAAAAAATTACAATGCTACATATTGTGCAGCCCTTTTCTGCGCCAAATTTAATTATTCTCTCCCACAGAAAACACTGCTCCTCACCTGCCTGAAACACCTCGTATGCATTTCAGGCTTTTCTTCTGTTACTTCTTTACATCACCATGTAACACATAGCGGCCAGTTTGACAGACCTTCAAAGAATGAGCAGCTTCCTCTGTCCGCCATTATTTTGTCACTGGAGCTGCGTCTGTTTGAGCTTTGCCTTCCTGCTTGTGTCCTATAGATCTGGAGGATACAGTAGTTAACCAGCTTTCATCAGGCCCGCTGACCAATCAGTGCAGACTTGGCTTTTCTGGATCGTGGCCTTAAAAAGACAGGAGCTAAAATGGAGCATTTTCAAACAGAGGATGGGAAAAGGTGCTGCAGCTATATACAGTATGCAAAAAAACTATGTGTTGTTTAAAGATGAAAGCATGTAAACATTTTCTAGTAAACCTCAAAAATAATGTTGGAAATAAATAAATAAACTCGTAAATGCGAAGAATATGGGGTCTTCAGTGTAGTTTTCTGTCTGCTGTGACAGTTATCAAGTCTGTCAGCATGTATCAACAACAGCTGTCTTTCATGTGGGCTGGTTCTGACGCTGCTCCCCAACGGTCTGGTTTCTGTCAGTGCTCCAACCAAGCGCTCAACAATGAGAACTACCAAATCCCACATGATGTTGATGCTCTTTACGTTCCTATACGGGCTCAGAAAATCACTTCTGCGTGTGTCTGCCCTGCTGAGCCCCCCCAAATACATTTTCATCCTCCTGAATGGTTTCTTATGGTTTTGTTCATGACATATGTTTATTTAAGCTCCCATAGCCCTACAGAGTAGACTAGAGGTTTGATCTTTGGCTCAACAGCTGTCAACTATTTTCAGTAATGAATGTGCCGTGCATTGCTGTTGTAAAAAGGTGAATGTGACAAAAGGTTTTGATGAACAGAAATGTTTTGTGTCCATAATGGATTTCCTTCACCTGATGAAAGCTCATGAAATGATCTGACATTAACGGTTGTGGATATGTGAACTTTCCCCACTGTGGGATCAATGAAGCTTATCTTTATCTAAGTTGTGAGCAAAAGATCCCAGTGTGGCGCAGTGCTGACAATTTTGTTCAGACCTTATGTTTCCAGGACAACAGAGGTCTGTTGCATGATTTTAAAAATAATACATATTGTTCATCGGGATCTGGCATCTGCATTCCAGACATACAATAAACCAAAAACAGATACAGAAAAAAACTGAACTTCTAAACACCTCATGTTCACACTGCAAGTTGTGATGTTTGAGGACGAAATGGGAACATGTTGTGCAAATCAAGTTTTTTTTGTCTGAATACTCGTGTGGATGTGGTCAATCAGGTCTTTTGTAGATCTTCTCCTCGCTGCCTTCTTTCATGAAGCCTTTCTGACCCAAATACCTTGTTGTTTGTCTGTTCTTGACTGCAAAGAGGTCGGATAAGTTCAATGAATGATGCAGTGCAGAGGAAGGATTGGACTCTTGGTTTGTGTTTCTTAGAATACATTTTTATGTCTTTGTCTAACATTATTTTCCTTAAAATGTAAAGACACTAAGTGTTTGACACTGAAAAAGAGTTCAGACTTTATCTCCAGATTTTACTCAATCCCACTTGACAGTTTTATTCAGACAATTCATTGGTTTATTTATTTTTAGACAGACTGGCAATGCACACTAGCACAAGAACATAAGGAAGAACCCTGTATAGTGTAGATGTCACACAAAAGTCTGTTTTTAATGCAGAGTTTAGGATCAGCATCATAAGCAGTTTATCGCCATCATACAGGAGATGTTGTTTAAAGTTAACTAGTTTCATCAGATCAACTTACACGGAGGTTTTGCGATCCCTGTGGCCATTTTCTTACTTCCTTCATGTGTTCACCAGTTTTCAGCAAATTTTTGAGGGGTTTTTCCACAGAGAACGACTTCCATCTGTGGTTCAGCTCCTGAAAGCACAATTATTTAGAATAAATGTCAGAGAGCCATCAAGAGAAGACTCCCACTACTATAGCTGACAGAAATTGATTACATGTTGTTAAATTGTAGGCTATTAAGGGTTGCAGGTGAGGGTAAGTGAATTGTCATGTATATAGCGATTTGTAGATTGTTAACACAGAGTTTGATGATAATTGTTGATAATTATGATGGTATTTTACCTGGCATCAGCTCTAATATCATTATCCATGGTACTGTTATGGCGTCATAAATCACAACGCAGACATAATAATAGGTTTCTAATTTCTTATGTCTTATCATAACCATGTTATGTCGGGGAGGGCAAAACTGAGACTAGAATGAATTTTGCAAGATATACACTGGTTTACTGTGTAATTTGTGAACATGTGATGCTGTCATAGGGAGACTCAGGTGATTTCGGAGCTGGTGACAATATGTACACTGCTACATGTGCTGCAGACAGTGCTCTTAGGGTGGCGTTAACAATGGAGTTAGAGCTGCTTTGCTGAGAAAAATATGTGATGACGCCATTTCTAAATTACCCCAAACATTTTTTTTCTTCATTATGGCCTGTAAAACTATAAAAGCTTTTACATCGAGAAACATTTGGCAATATATATACTGAGACCAATTTATCATATTGGCTGACTGACATATCAATTGGGCCCTCGTCTTAGATATCAGACTTTACGATTGAATGGTTGGCCATAATCAGAATAATATTACAATAGTTAACCTTTGTGGTGGTGACTATGTGAAGCCATTTTTACCAGCAGTATATTAAACTGAGTACCAGGTAAAAGCCTCAGTGCTGGGTGTACATTGCAGTAGATGGTAAACAGCAGTTACAGTGATGTAGAAATAGATGTGTGGACCATTTAATTGACCAGTAGAGAGAGCACAATTATGTGGAAATGTGTTGAGATGGAATTAGATCGGCTAAACTCCAATAACTTCATATTTCTGCCTCTAATTTAACTTACACTGCAGGCTTCAGGTTTGGTTGTTATGCTAGTTTAGAAATCATTTATCCATTGTGCTGCTTCAGTGCGAATAATCAAAAGCTCTGAAACTGTGTCATGCGAACAGACCTTGGACCTGCAGCAGACTGATCTAATAAAAAAAAAAAGACCACCTGGTTGTCAGTGCAGCCAAACGTGTTCAAAGTAATGAGGTTGGCAGGCAGGATATCAAAGATGCAAGGTGGGTCAGAACAGGTATAGGCAGGAACAATGACTAGAACTGTAAGGAAACAGAGAGAGTCTGGCAAATAACAGGGTGGAAGTGCCTTCAAAAATATGCTGAGGAACAAATGACTAATTGGATGCAGCTGAACAGGAAAATGCCAACATCAGGCCACCAGCACAAACTGGGGATGACTAGTAAGTAGCTGAGGGATGGAAACATTTAATCTAGCAAGAGATGTTTAGAGCACAGAGACTAATATGACGTGGAGACACAACAACAGGAGGAAAAGCAAGAGCAGTTTAAACAAAGACGACAAATTCTTCAAGAATGTACGTACATTGTAATTCCTATATCTTACTATACTATATGTTGTATTGTGTGTAGATAATGGGAATTCTATTTAACTACTGATTACTAGATTGCTTTTAGACCTAATAAGGTTTATGTGCCCTTTGTGTGTCCAGGTTGTGAAGATGTGGAGCTGGGTTTTCACTGTGGCTGTCCTGTTGTCCTCCATCAAACAGGCTAAAGCTCAGGGTAAAGTGCATGTTCTTTCCTCACTATCATACGGCCACCAATAGACCAGATGTTTTGTGGTCCTCTTGAAGTATATCATTTTTTTATGCTCTTGTACATTGTTTGTCACTTTTGCAGGCAGATGTAATAATGTGCAGGCAGCAGATATTGTCTTCCTGGTGGATGGATCCTCCAGTATCGGCCGAGCAAACTTCCTGCAGGTGAAGGGCTTCATGGCTGGAATCGTAAAGCCATTTGCCGGCTCCGTTGGCGAGTCAGGGATTCGGTTTGGGGCCATACAGTACAGTGACACCTCAAGGTAAATGACAAAATATTTCCTTCTTTACTTTACTGCAGGATCAGTATCACATTCTATTAATTCACTTTTCTTTGTCTCCAGGGTTGAGTTCACCTTCACTACCTACCTGAATGGCACTGAATTAGTCAACGCTGTACAGAATCTAAACTATAAAGGTGGAAACACACGCACTGGAGCTGGACTCAAGTTTGTCGCCGATAACTTCTTCAATCCTGCATCCAGTCGAGATGTCCCAAAGGTCTAAGGAGCAGCCATTCTGTGATGTTGCATCATTTTATATCAACATAGTTATTATAGCATGTTGTTATTCTGCTTCTTAACTTTCAGATCACCATCCTGATCACAGACGGGAAGTCCCAGGACAGTGTGCAGGAACCAGCGCAGAAGCTGCGCAGTCAGGGAGTGCATGTATTTGCAGTCGGTAGGCGTCCTGTCTATAGTCTCTCCTCTCTTACTCAGAGTAGTTTGGAATTATTTTAGAATTGCTTACGAAGTAGCATGATTTGTTTTCGTCTTTGCCAACTTTTTGTGTTTGTTAGGCATTAAGAGTGCAGACAGGAATGAATTGGCTCAGATCTCCTCCCAGCCCAGCAATGATTTCACCTCCTTTGTTGGAGACTTCAAGCTGCTGAACACACTTCTTCCTCTCGTGAGCCCTCGAGTGTGCTCCAAAGCAGGAGGAGTCTATGCCAGTGATGGTATGTTTATTTACCTCGGCCTAGCATCAGTATAATAAAAATTACAGTCAACTGTGTGTAGAATGTTATTATAGACTGTAAAGGTGCATTTAATTTTATCCATGTCTTATTCTCCTCTCCTCTCATCCTCTCAGAGGCCTTTTCTGGTCCATCCAACATCCAGTTCACTGGCCAGACGTCTGACACTCTCCGATTTCGCTGGAGTGCTGCAGGAGGGCCTGTGAGCGGCTATGTAGTCCAGTATGTGCCGCTCTCTGGCCTCGGTCAGCCAATCACAGCAGAGCTGCGTCAGGTGAGTCAAGGCGTTGCAGGATATTGTTTTGACAGATGGAGAAGGGCTGCAGCACTTTCATATAACCTACATTGAAGTAGTTAATTGCAGTTGTGGGAGCCAAAATCAACCCCGCTTTGCTAGAGAAACATGTGGATTCAGGCTGAGTATAAACATGTTTAATGGGTGGATCTTCTTCGTGTAGACACTGTAGAGATTAAAGTGTGGCAAAACAAAGACTGAAATTCCTTTGTGTATACATTGGCAGGCATGACAAAGATGGAAGAATCCTATAGCTTAGATATGTTTTCAGTTGCAGACTTTGCAAAAACTTGTTTTAGTATGACTCTTTACAAAGATGGCCTCTGACCTCTCCCTGCAGGAGACTGTTGCTGCGAATCAGAGGACCTTCACTGCACGAGAGCTGAGGTCAGGAACAGACTACCTGGTAACTGTCATCGCACAGTACCCCAACAGCGTGGGAGAGTCTGCTTCTGCCAAGCAACGAACCAGTTAGTATTCAGTAAAAGACTCTAATGTCAGCTGAGAGGCATCTACCAAAAACACTAATGACACTGTGTCTGTTTTTTTTTGTTTTCTCAAATAGGGTCGTTGCCAGGTGTCTCCAGCCTACGCTTGGTCCAGGCAGGATTCTTTTCTCTGTCTGTGGGCTGGGATGTGCCTTCATCTGCTGTCCAGGGCTACAGACTCACCTATGGCCCACGAGGTCAGGCAAATTAATATCTCTGCTTCTATTTTCCGTCCCTCATTCGGCTTGCAAAAATATAGTCTTATTGTCTTCAGAAACTGAAACTTTGGGTACCTGTTATGTCTGAATCACTGTGCAACTAAGCTAATATGGGCAGAGTGAAGGATTACAATGAAGATGAAGTAGGAAAAGAAGCTGCACTGACATTTAACTTGTTGGTGGCAAGTTGGAACCATGCCAGGAATGTGTAGCAGTCTGGGTTGAGCATGATGAACATAAACCTCTGTAACACCTAACTTCCCCCAGGCACAGGCTGTCAGTAAAGATTTTTATAGCCCAATCATTACCTAAAATATCAAATACGTTTTATCATCACCGGTTGTGAAATTAGGCAGACCGAGAAAACCTTTACTTATGTCATGGATTGTCAGTAATTTTGTCCTTACATTTTCAGAGACAGGGTGTGTCAGGAGGTCTGGGTGCTCATGCCGTGATTCAGGAGGGGAAAAGTGGCCCCTGAGGGCTAATATAGATATAGATCTCTGCCAGCAAACATGTGGCAGGAGTGCCAGTCTCAGTTCTCACACTGAGGTCCTCTTCTGACTAGTTAGGTTGCCACGTGTAAGAGAGAGTATTTAAATGAGGACAGTGTATATCCTGTAATGAGAGGTGTGATGTTTCTACCTGTTCGTGTGCCTTCCAGCTCTAGCCAAGTGTTGCACATTTGACACGGATAATTCAAACAAACAAGGCAGACAGAAACACCTGCGTGCAGGACCTGCATGCACACCAACTGTGCACGGCCACTTTTGAAATGCTCAAGACTTATCAAACTCACTTCATTTATAGACGATATATAAAGTTCTTAATGGGTCACAAATCCCAAACTTCTGCACCGTGCTGTCAGCTAGTTCTCTCATACATGCAGTTTACTTTGTGCTTGTTCTTAGGACGCTAATTGGTCTTCTACATGTCCTTTCTGTCTGTTTGTCCTCTCTGTTGCTTGGCTCAATGAGTAGGTCAACCAGCTGCTCAGCTGTTGGAGCAGTCGCTGGCTGCAGACTCCACATCTGTCACCTTGGAGTCACTTCAGCCCGACACAGAGTATGTGATCAGCCTCTACCCCCTGTTCCCCCGAAACTCTGCATCCCCATCTGTCCTCAACGCCCGCACACGTGAGTCCATCCCCTGATCCACTATCATTACCTTTGATACGGCTGGTATACTATACTTTTGATACTGTACAGCTGCACAAAATGAAGCTGTGTTGTGGGAAGGGATTGACCCAGCATTTGTACTTGATACAGTGCATTTTTGTGATGCTGTCTCCTTGTGGTGGGAATTAACAAATGACTGCACATATTGTCTGCATGTGTCTCGCTTCATGTTTTTGCTTGTGTCAGTGCGCCTCGAGGCCGTGCAGCAGTTGTCAGTGGACACGGTGTCAGAGGGCAGCGTTCGAGTGCGATGGAGAGGCGTCAGCGGTGCAAGAGCCTACCGTCTAGTGTGGGGACCTTTTACAGGTCAGGACAAAGGACATCGTTTAAGAACATCTTTCACTTCTTATCGCATTTATCTTCACAAATGTGCACAAGCACATGATTGCATTTTTGTTTTTCTGTTCTCTAAGGTCGTAATGTCGAGACCGTGGAGGTTGCTGGTGACAGCGAGTTCTACACATTGTCCAGGCTGCAGCCGGATACCGAGTACATTGTCACCATCATCCCGCTGTATGAAGGCAACACCGAGGGCCCCGTTGCAACTGCAAGGTTCAAGATCGGTAGGTGTGCTATCATTAGTTAACAGAAAACACTAAACAGCTCATTGCTAAATGAGATGATATTTCTATGTCCATTTCTGTTTCTTAAATTAGCAACTGTAGTAAAAGAAAGATCTTTGAAAATGTTCTTGCTCTCGGTCATGTCCTGCCAAGAACAGAGACAGGAAGCAGAGGGAACAAAAAACAGAGATAGAAAAGATGGCCAGAAATTTTCCCTGCTGTTTGTCTCTCCTAAAGAGCCTACACATGTTACTGTTTAGGTCTGTTTAGGGAACATTTCTGGCACACCTACACACATGCTATATACACACTCACACACCATCTGTCTCTCGTGAGTAATGCCCATATGGTGTCACTTCAGTCGGACGAGTGTTATTTGAATAAATGTTGAGTCACTGCGGGGCCACTGTACTGAGCCGATAGCTGGCAGGAATGAAGACTTGTGTGGCTTCATTGTGCGATCAAAGAAACAAGATGTATGCGGTCCTTTACATACTGTACATTGTGACAACATGAACTTTTGTTGAGCGTGTTTCTGATTTATAGATTTGTTTGTTTTAATCATGAAAACATGTTGAAAAATGTTGACTTTTTTTTTTGGTTTTTAGTTAGGACCACCTTGGATGAAGTGCTGATATTTATTTATAAATGCATTAATTTATAATCGAGATATTTATTAACCCTCCAAACTACATGCAAGTAAACTTATAATATAACTACAAACTCAAGAATAATATGTTCAATAACAAGAAATATAAGACTTATAAGAATTATATATGCTTATAGTAAAATGTCTCTGTCTTTTATGGCTGAGTGTTTGAGTCTCATGTGTGTGAATCCACAAACACTCTGGGTGTGAGGTGTTCTTCTTCAGTACTGGTCCTAATCAACCTGGTACCACAGGTTGAGTGCAGATGTTGAGATCATCACTCCGTTGATGTTGAATTTCCTTAATTTTGGAGTTTAAAACTGTTCAGTTCATTATTGCATAGAAAGGTCTGATTGTTAGGAGGAGAACAAGGTCACAAGGTCACAGTAATTAATGCAGTCTCCTCTTGTTCAGTAGTGGTTTTTTTTGTTTTGTTTTTTTTCCCACAATTGACACTTCATGACTGTTATCACGTTCTTGTGGAGGTAGGAGACGTCTTGTCGTCTGCAGTAAACATCCGATATGCAGATGTTCAATTTGGGTGAAAGTTTTGGCTTAGCTGTCTTCTGAAATGGTTTCCTACTAAATTTACAGCTTTGAGAAAAGGTCTTTGGATTCTCTATGTGCTGCTTTGGAATGAGCCTGTTGTTCTGCCCCCTTGCACACTATAACCTCTATGAAACAGCACA